TATTACAGAGCCACAGCATCATGATCTTAGAGGAAAGGTTGTAGTTCCTGTGCTATGCTCCATCTCCTCACCCAAGTTGCCATTGCCAAACGAGTAAGTCAAACTTCCACTCTTCATATTCTCCACACAGTGGAGAATTTGTCCAGGAAGAAAGGCTGAATGGGATAGTAATGGCATTGACGAGGAAACTGGTCCAAGAACACTGGCTGATGGATATCCCTTTCAAAGCCCTGGAGGTGCACTAGTAACTTACAGTTCCATACAATATTTTTTTTTTAGTACAGTTGTGTTCAAAATAATAGCAGTGTGTTGAAAAAAGTGAATAAAGCTCAAAATCCTTCTAATGGCTTTTATTTCCATACACACAAATGCATTGGGAACACTACACATTCTATTCCAAATCAAAACATGAAGAAAAATATATCAAATGTGTGTTGTTCCTCTAAAAAAAATTGAAGAAAAGTGAATATTAGACTGTTCAAAAAAATAGCAGTGTTTGTATTCTTCTTTACAAACTCAAACATTCACTATATAAACTGAAAAATGTTTGAAGATTTTGCTTTCCTTTGAATCACTTAATGAATATTTAGTTGTATAAGCACTGTTTCTGAGAACTGCTGTACATCTGTGTTGCATGGAGTCAACCAACTTCTGGCACCTGTGAACAGGTATTCCAGCCCAGGATGACTGGACTACATTCCACAGTTCTCTATTTCTTGATTTTGCCTCAGAAACTGCATTTTTGATGTCACCCCACAAGTTTTCTATTGGATTAAGATCCGGGGATTGGGCTGGCCACTCCATAACGTCAATCTTGTTGGTCTGGAACCAAGATGTTGCACTTTTACTGGTGTGTTTGGGGTCGTTGTCTTGTTGGAACACCCATTTCAAGGGCATTTCCTCTTCAGCGTAAGGCAGCATGACCAATTCAAGTATTCAAACTGATCCATGATCCCTGGTATGCGATAAATAGGCCCAACACTGTAGTATGAGAAACATCCCCATATCATGATGCTTGTGCAACCATGCTTCACTGTCTTCACAGTGTACTGTGGCTTGAATTCAGTGTTTGGGGGTCGTCTGACAAACTGTCTCCGGCCATTAGACTCAAAAAGAACAATCTTACTTTCATCAGTCCACAAAATGTTGCGCCATTTCTCTTTAGGCCAGTCAATGTGCTCTTTGGCAAATTATAACCTCTTCAGCACATGTCTTTTTTTCAACAGTGGGTCTTTGCGGGGGCTTCTTGCAGATAGCTTGGCTTCACATAGGCGTCTTCTAATTGTAACAGTACTCACAGGTAACTTTAGACCTTCTTTGATCTTCCTGGAGCTGATTGTTGGCTGAGTCCTTGCCATTTTGGCTATTCTTCTATCCATTCGAATGGTAGTTTTTCGCTTTCTTCCACGTTTTTCAGGTTTTGGTTGCCATTTTAAAGCATTTGCGATCATTTTAGCTGAGCAGCCTATCATTTTCTGCACTTCTTTATATGTTTTCCCCTCTCCAATCAACTTTTTAATCAAGGTACGCTGTTCTTCTGAACAATGTCTGGAACGACCCATTTTCCTCAGAATTTCAGAGAGAAATGCACTGTAACCAGCATGTACAACATTTGCTGTCTTCCTTCCTTAAATAAGGGCAAAAATTGTTTTTCAAAGAATGAATGACCTCACTAATAGAACTCCACACTGCTATTATTTTGAACATGCCCCTTTCAATTAGTGATTCAATTACACAGAATTAGCAGCATGCATGTCATGATTGTTGGGTCTGTTGGATTTCTATTACTCTACTACACCTGCTAGTAAATTATTTGCCATGTAGAAATATAATTTCTACCAAAAACAGTGATTGATCAGGTTAGTGATGTCTGACTGCTATTATTTTGAACACAACTGTAGATCCCTGCTTTAAGGGACTTTGTGAATTGGGATTTGTTTTCTTCAAGCTGGTTTTACAATCCTATACAAATCTATTAGAATGCAAAACCTGCTTAAAGCAGGTCAGAAGGAGGTCAGATGCACCTGTCTATTCTGAATGATTTTAGAAGAATCTCAGAGTGTTGTCAAACTGATATTATCAGAACCCCAGGGACTGGAGACACGGGACCTAAAGTAAACCTTTCCTGAGAGAGATATGCTTCCATTGCTGAATCTGCTTCCCTGACTGTTATACTGACATGCTCACTTCAGTAATTTGAGTCTGGTCAGTGACCAAGGTATTAAGTCAAGCAACTAGCATTTTCAGTCATTAGAAACGGCAACAAGTATCCAAGTTTTCTTAATAAACTTTGCTTTTATAAAAGTCCATGAAACCTAAATAGAGTTACTTTATGTAAAGGGCCACCAGTAGTATTCACAATTAATGAAGTTAAACGTTCCCATATAATACAAAGACAGATATTTGGCATTGTTTTATCGTTCTTTGGATTGTTCTGTGTTATCCGCCATTTATAGCCATAAAAAGGATTAATACAGCATTTGCTAGTACTGTATTGGGTTATTAACAATATAACCTTTGCTATAAAATTGTATATTTTTTTTTTTCTGTTGCCGTTATCTATTTGTCTGAAAATGGTATTGTGAAAGTCAAGCCAAAACCTTTTAAATGTACTAAGGAATGGTTAGATCTCCTGTCAGGTTTGTCAGGCTATCCCAGGCTCTGTTAGAGGGATTTAACCTCATTTCTAGCCCTGCTGTCAACCGTTTTACCAGACCGGAAGTGAAGGAAACTCTATAACAAGGAATATGGAAAGCTATAAAAGAAAATGACACTGGTTCTAGCCTCCCCTACTCTACTAACAAAAATATATTTATTTCTGTAGGTGTTGTTGTTGAAGACTTCCACTTCCTGTCTGGTAAAACATTCTCAGCGGACAAGGAAGTATGGAGAAATTTCTCTACTGGAGCCCCAGCCAGCACTACAAATCTGACAAGGGTTCTAACCCTTCACCACTCCATCCAAAAAAAAGTTTGATAAGCTTGATACTTTAGGCTCTTTTGCATACTTCAGCCTGTGGTTTATGCTTACTGGTTCAGTAAAGGCGCAATGATCTTCACGCCAATCATGTTTGTTTCCTCCCAAATTGTGTCCTTTGTACAGCATGGCCTGAGACATCTTACCATGGAGAATTGCATTTGGTATTAAACAGCAGAAGCAGAGCAGCTAATATAAAACCAAGCTACTGTGTTTAGCTTTCAGTTCTGAACTATAATTGCATTCTGTGTTCATTGCTGTAGGTGTGTTCCGTTTCGACATGCCAGTCAGGTAAAGAAAGGAGAACACTACATACATTGTACATCAACGTCACCAATGTGCTCATCCTTACTAAATAAACTGGCTAGACAAAGGTTGTATTTACACACCTTCAACTACTGACCAACACCCCATATCTACACCATGAACAGTGATGTATTGAGGGGAGGATCCCGAAGATTATATGCAGTAGAGTCTTACAACAGGTATACATATAATTAACCTTCATGGAAGTAAGGTGTACACTGTATTTCTTCAACCTGCAGAATCCCTGGTGTGTTCCAATGTGCAACTGGCGAGCACCTAGTTTCTACCATCCACCTGTGGATATCGAGTCCATCATGCTCACTAGCAGGATGATGGCATGTATCTGTACAGTCCGTGGCAATGGGCTTTCTTGCAGTCCCTGTAACTATGATTCTTTTCCAACAGTCTCATTGTCCATGACATACTTTCTAAGCTCTGCTCGCAAAGCCTCAATTCGTCTGTGGGCATCTTTAAGCTGGATCTTCAGGTTTATGTTCTCCTCCTTTAACATGGATCTTTCCTGTTGTGAAGAACAAAAATAGAACATTAGTTTTGCAAACCACATCCTAGAGACAATATTTCAGAATTTCTACAACACTACTGTTTACTTTGCATTCCAGGGGACATTGCTCCTGGTACTGATTGGTCCCAGAAGCAACAAAAACCATATTGGTATCATGAACAATAAACATCACCTGAGAAATGAAGTAAGCTTTGTTAATTTTTTATTTCTTTTGCATGTTCTGCACAGTTTGGCCTTCATCTCTTAGTGACATGGCCAGACTTTAGGAACAACTGTTAGGCATGTGCTGATTTTTTAACAAAGACTAGAACAACACTGATTAGCAAGCCTAAGACCTTCATGTTTTGAGGAACTGCAAATCCCTGCATTCCCCAGAGGGCAAAGACAGCCCAAATGTAGGAACAAAGTTGGCAATATGTTTAGTTCCAAAAGGGCTGCAGAAATCCATTTTGTCTGCTGCACTTTTAGGTTGCACATTCTCCAACTTTCTGAGGACAGGAAGAGGAACATCTTTTAACAAAAACTATATAGGCTAAGGACACCCTTTCCGCATTCCCTGTTATGCACAATTTAATGCCAAAAATCACTGGTGCTTTTTTTCAACCATTAATTTTACTTTTTATTGACTTTTCAAAAAAACAAATTCAATCATTTAGAAGTTGGATGAAGGTATTGTGAAGTATAAAGCTGGGTGCACACTATAAGAAAATTGGATGAATGATTACCCAGTTTTCTTCGATCCCAAAGAATTGAACCTGAGGATGGTACTAATTGTACAAAAATTCTTGAACGACAAAGACTTTTTTTTTCTATTGATGTAGAAATGTTGTAGTGTAGATTGTTTTTTATTGTTTCTGATTATGTGCAGTCTTTCGTATCCGAAAACTAATGAAAATCGTTAGCTCTGTTCACGTACGAGAAACATTTTGGAGTTTAACCCTTCATAAATTTTCATTTGGAAAGTCTGAATTGGATATCAGAAGTCGTGTGCATACTATACAAAAATCAGACAATCATTTCTCGTACAGAACTTTTCTTCCGATTTTCTCATAGTGTGTACCCCACTTGGCACTTTTGGTACTTAAATAATACACTCATGATAGAGATCTCTGAAGCAGACCAAAGAGAGGGACAATCCTACCCAGTGAGGGACAGGTGTCAGCTATGTTACTGGAATATATAAATGAAATGCTTGTTACCAAAATAGGTAATCATTATACCAGCATTCATAGAATAAGATAGGGCTATCAATGTTACTACTGGCTACCTTTTCCAGTTCTTGTGTTGTTTGTTTAGATCCTCGTCTCTCCTCTCTGACTTTGCGGACAGAGTCCTTATTTTCCCACTTAGCATAGGCCCGCTTCCTAATTAAAAGTGGACTAGGACTGCCATCTGGAGTTCGACTCCTATGAGGAGAGGTGGTAACCTGTAAGCAGGGACTGGAAGGACTGTCTTCGGTCTGTGTGCCTCTGTGTCTCATTGTTGGCTGCAACCGCACAGAGATCTTCTGAGATGAGCTTCCCATCAGCATGATTGTCCTGTCTTTTCCGACCTCTGTGTGCTCACTGTCTTCACCATTTGTGTAAGGGAAGTGGTCGTCTTCAGCTGTGCAATCTTGGAAGGTAAAACACAAAATTAGCAACATAACTGGACCAAGAAGCATGATTAAAATCTGCAATTAGTATTTAAAAATGAAAAATAAAAACAGATCTCAGTTTTCAAACTAATGCTGTGGAAGGTACATGTCAATGTCAAGGCAACTCTGTACAGTGCGTGCCTCTGCTCTAATCTTTAGAGGCGTTAAAGGGTAGAATATACAGTAATTAGTACATTGTTTTGTGAAAGTTGATCTTTGTAACCTTTCTCTCGGCCTAGCTTGCTATACATTTATCTGTAACATTTCCTTGGTGTTCTAAAGTGATAAAGCCACTAGAGGGCAAGCATAGAAAACAATTGTGCTTACCTAGACAGTACAATTTGGGGAAGTATGTCAGATTTAATGAGTAAGGAAGTGTAAACAGCAAAAATGGTGTGTAACATATATTTATATATAGTAGGTGTGAATACAATCATTTCTCACTGATTAGTAATGTAATCTGATCGTTTCTGCCATTTACTGCTCTGTGCACATCATCTGCACAGTCTTACTGTCTAGCCCTGTGTTTACCCCGTTCTGCGCTACCTTACCCACACAAAGCACATTTGCTCACAGTAACATTCTGTTCATCACCTTGAATGAATTATGGCAATTGCCTACTTACCATTTGTTGACCCTTTGCCACTTGTCGATGAAATGTCAGAAGTGGCAATGTCAGGAGATAAACTGCAGTCTTCAGTGGAGCATTTAGTTCTCTTCTTACATTCGAACACCACCAGCTCTTTACATTGTTTATGGCAATTCATCCCACAGTCTGCACAAAATTACAGAAAACAAATATGCAAGTTAAACCACGTGTAAACAGGGCCGGATCTAGCCTGCCTGATGTGGGGGTGCAGTAAAAATGTCAGGGGGCGGAGGATGGGAGGTCATCAGGGTAGTGTACAGAGGCCATTAGTTTGTAGGGCAGTGTACAAGGGTCAGCAGAGCGGAGCACGGGATCAGTAGTAGATGAGGTTGAGGTCTAAAATACAGCTGGAGTAGGCTATTCACATACTGCAGAAAATTTAAGTTCACCTTTAGTAACATTACACCCATATTTAGGTTGTATCATGTTACTAAATGAGCAGCCCCCACGTCCTCCTGATCCCCTGTTGTGACATTGGGAATCTTCTCCCTGCACCCGCTGTCACAATTTAAAAAAAAAATCTGTTCTGTGAGCTCCACCTACTTGGCAACATTATTCATTCACAGAGTTATGTGAATGGGAGAACTACAACTACCATCAGCCATTGCGATTGACAGCTTGTAGTTCTCAATAAACTACTAGGGCGCTGGTGAGAGCTCTAGGTAGTTAAGTATTCCTTCCTGTTATTCAGTAACTGCCTGCCCGTACGGGGCAGAGAGCCACACTGACAGCCTGCAGGAGCTTTGCATTGCACCCACGATCAACAGATGCAATGCATTACAGACTCCTAATTTAAAAAAAAAAAAAATTTAAAAAGTGCTCATTTTTTTACCTGCAAAAATATGTGCATTTATTTATTTATTTTTAAAGGTGAACTTACCCTGTAATGCAGCATGTTGAGTTGACAGGTAGCATCGCCTGTCAAACTTAGCCAGTCAATAGGGCCATGCTGCAACTGTGAGCAAAAAACCTTGGCTTGCAGTTGCGGCACATTATCTGTATTATAAACTGCTGTTTGGCAAAACAAAAACCCACAAAGGCATTCAGGATGAAGCAGGATTGCTGCACTCCAAAAAGCGATCCACAACAGATTGCTTTTTTAGAGCACTGGCTAGTGTGAACCTAGCCTAATACAAGTCATTGTAATGTCACCTATATTATTGTCCTTTTAACATGGTGACAATAAGCTGGTAAAAGTACGGCAATTTTGCTGGCATTATTATGACTGGTATTAAAGGGGAGGGTGAGTCACAAGCTATGCAGTGCACTGGGGGAGGGAGTGGGGGAGCTGATGGCTTTGGGGGAACACAACTGAAATTTGGGGGGGTATCCCACTCCAGCACCCCCCTAGATCCGGCCATGCATGTAAATGAAGTGCTCCCTTCCCCGACTGCTGTCTATAGGATTTATTGAACCCTGTGTGCAGCAGTCCTAAAATGTGGACAATCACTTTCCCAAAGCATATGATATTCAAATGTTTTGCAATGACAAAATAAACAAATGCTTGTGCACACTAAAGGGCCACTGTTGATAGGATTCAGTGAACCTTATGAGCAGTGGGTAGGAGGAACCATGTGAATTTGCTAAAGTCTGCCTCTTAAATTCTTCCATTTACTTTGCTAGTGTATATCAGAAAACCAAGAAAGAATTTAACCAGTTGATGGTGATAACACAGACTACTAAGAAATGAAGCACACTGTGACTCCCTCTTGGACTTTTGTGATAATTCTTGTTTTATAGTTGTTGGGTTGCTTGATAATCCCCCATGGGTTAGATCTGCAGCGGACTTTGTTTCCTTCTGCCAGGCTAGCACCCCCACATGAGCTTGAGATGAGAAGACACCAGACACAGGTGTGATGTATCAATTCAATATCAAACATTTATTGGGCGCATTAGATATTTCTATAAAGTGGACATACAGTAGGCAGTGGCCCTGGTTCTCTCTGTGCGCCTGGTTGCAGGTGCGGGAATCGCATCTGTTCCCACACTGGCAACCACTGCAGCCAAATTGTGCTGCTCTTACGAGACACATGGGGCTGCAATTCATTCTGAATGGCACCCCACAGCGCATTTGCGGATGTGGGAACTGCAGGGAAATTGCATGCTTAAAAAGACCATGCGATTTCCAGGTGGCTGCATGTTTAATAAGGTATATGCACCTTTTTTTGTGCGGAAAACTCAGGCACAGCTGCCCCTTCAAACTAATTGTCTGCCATGCCGGTACAACCACAGGCCACACAGCAAGCATAGGTGTGAACCAGGGGTTAGACAATATCCATTACAGGGTAGCAGTTTACATACATAGTGAGAATGAATCTAGTAGTGATAACTGAAACTCAACAGTTTTGTTACAGTTTAAAGAGACACTCTAACCAGAAACTACTGCTAATAAGAAACTTGCATTTTCCTACAATAGTATTTACCTTTGCAGCGATATCCTTGCTTGATTACGCCCCAGAGCTGGAAAATAAAGCATATATTATACTTCAGTACAGGAATCAATTAAATCGTGTTATTCATTGTTTTATAAATATTAACAGATATTTTGTCTGAAAGCATGTTGATTATGGAAAATCCTTCTATATTTCTTTTATCATTAAATGGAATTTACAAAATTTTATAACTGGGACTAACAGGACACCAACTTTGGACTTTGTAAGTAGGGATTTTTGGGTGTTCTGCCCCCTCCATCACACACTCAAAATGTTAAGTGTTTTTCTGCTCAAATGGTCCAACGACTGCAAGGTAGAGACATTCCATTTTATAGGAAACCTGTTCCAAGAGAAACATAGAGGTTCCAGACTTGCTGGAAGTGCTAGCTGCTTCACTGTCAGGCAGCTAACAACTTCAAAAACACACATAGGAAGGTGCAACGTCTAATACATTACCACCACAAATGTATTCAACATAAAAAACAGTTGTATACTCATAAACAGAAATACTAGCAGGCACATCAAACAAAAAAAGCCACAGCCATAGGCAATATCATCTCATCACATGCCGAATGGTTTGAAGTCTAACACGTTTCAAGGTACAAGCTCCCTTCATCAGAGTTCTTGTTGGTTATGTGTTATAGAAGACACTGGTAGTGATAGCAGAATTCAGACTTTACTTGTGTGGCTTAAGTTACAAACATACAGAGCACATTTCACAGCAGACAGATTACTTCCTGAAGAGATGATAGAGAGATGAGGAACAAACAAGTTTTCAGATATACACAACTAGTGACCTTTAGTGTACAGTGCCATCTACTGGTCAAGTGATATTATCACACAATACTATATATAGTACATTATAGTACATGCTGTTGTATTCCCAACACCCCTTCTCAACGGCATGTGCATAATTATATGACATTTAGTCTCTTTTGTAGAAAACAATGACGTTCCCTTGTTTTTGGATAATCTGGTTCCATTGGTGTTTTCGCTTCCTCCTTTGCATCTTGCATGTGAAACTGTTCTAACATTTCTGTAATTTTCTGACTTTGGTTAAGAAGATAGCTTCCATCCTCTTCCCGCTCTATTTGAATTCCTAGATAGTGAGTAATGTTCCCCAACTCTTTAATTTCAAAATTTTGTTTCAGTTTGTGAACTATTTGGTCATAGTCCCCTTCTTGTTCAAAACACGTCAAGATGTCATCGACGTATATTAGGATGTATGTCCATTTGTTCTCTTGATTCTTTGAATACAGACATGGATCTGCTTTACTTTTTGAGAACCCTTCTTTTCTGAGTATTTCGTTCACTTTTTCATTCCATGCTCTCGCTGCTTGCTTGAGCCCATAGATGCTCTTTTGCAGTTTGCAAACAAGGTTCTTTTCTTTCTCAAATCCTGGTGGCTGTTCCATGTACAGATCCTCCTTGATGTCTCCATACAAAAAGGCAGTTTTGACATCTAGATGCTTTACTTGCATTCCCTTTCCGGCAGCAATACTAAGGAGTGTTCTTATAGTAGAATGTTTCACAACTGGAGCAAATGTCTCATCGTAATCTTCTCCAAATTTCTGGGAGTATCCCTTGGCAACTAATCTTGCTTTGTATCTATGGATGTTTCCTTCTGCATCATATTTTACTTTAAAAGTCCATTTGCTTCCGATGGTTTTGCGACCGGGAGGGAGTTCTGTTAGTGACCAAGTTTTATTTTCTTGAAGTGATTTTATTTCTTCTTCAGCTGCTTTTCTCCACTGATTGGCTTCCCTTCTCGGCAAAGTTTCTATGTCTTCCCAGGATGTTGGCTCCTGTGTTTGATGTGTTTTAGCAGCGTATGATAACCTGCGGGGTGGTATCCCTTTTGTCATTCGAGAGGATGTTCTGATTTCTTGTTGTTCAGTGGATTCTATTGGCTCGTTGATTGTAAGTTCCACTTCTTGTTCTGGCTCTTGTCTGCTTCGCATGGGTCAGTGTCTCTTGCCGATTCAGCACGTAAATCCTCTCCACATTTTTCAAAAATTGTATTATCTGGTTCTTCACTTTCATTAAAATAAACACTGTGGCTTACTGTGACCTTGTTGGTCTTTGGACAAAGGATTCTATATCCCTTACTCTGCTCACTGTAGCCGACCAGAATGCCTTCTATGGCTTTGTTCTCCAACTTGGAGCGCTTCTGACTTGGAATGTGGGCATATGCTTTACAGCCAAATACTCTGATGTGTCCTACGTTAGGTTTTGATCCATTCCACATTTCATATGGTGTACTCTCAATAGATTTTGATGGGAGCCTGTTTTGTAGGTATGTTGCAGTCATTATTGCTTCTCCCCAGTATTTGTTAGGTAAGCCAGCATCCGTAATCATACATCTTGTCATTTCTACAAGAGTGCGATTCTTTCTTTTAGCTACACCGTTTTGCTCAGGAGTGTATGGTACGGTTGTTGTTTGGTGTATAATACCTTGTTTCTTTAGGTATGATTCCATCTCTTTATTCATATATTCCCCTCCATTGTCAGTGCGTATTATTCCAGGTTTCCTTTGAAACTTGTTACTTGTCATAGCTACAAACTCTTGAAGTTTTTCTAATGTCTCACTTTTGTGCTTCATTAGATACGTTATTGTGTACCGGGAATAATCATCGATGAAAGTCAGTAAATATCTGTTCCCGCCAGGTGTGATGGTTTTCATTGGTCCGCACACATCACTGTGTATCAGTTCCATGGGTTTAATGGTTTTACTCTGACTGGTCTGTGGAAGAGAGGTTCGGGTGGCCTTTGCTTTGATGCAACACGTGCACTTGCTGAGTGTGTGGCAAGGCAATATTTTCATGTCTTCTGATAGACCTCTCTTTGCAAAGTCCTTTATAGCTTCTGGGTTTCGATGCCCCAGTCTTCTATGCCACAGGTGGATGCACTTGTCATGTGGGTTATGAGTTGCCGCATTAGCCTTCTCACTTTCAATGACGAGTTTGTACAGATGTTCATTTAATCTTCCTCTTGCTAGAATTTGCTTTCCATTTTGAATTGTGCATTCATTACCTCTGACCTGGACAGTGAGTCCATTGCTTGCAAGGGTTTTAACTGATAGGAGGCTTCCTTCTAGGCTTGGAACATATAGAACATTCTTTACAAGGATGCTCTGCTTGCCCCCTGATGGTGTTTTGCAGTTCAGAAATCCCTGACCTTTACCTTCCGCTGTAATACTTTTCCCATTTGCTAGGAAGACTTTATCTTTTACACTAAAATCAATTTCTGTGAAGAATGTCTCGTCGCTTGTCATGTGACTTGTTGCCCCTGAATCAATGTACCATCCATGTGAGGTACTATTCTGAGTCACTTTAAAAGTACCACTCCATGATGCACTTTCATTTTCTTTCATGACCGCTTTAGCTCTTTCTCTTGTGGGTAGCTCCCGCTTTCGCTGCTCAGCTTTCCAGATTGAACAGTTCTTTTTCAGGTGACCGGCCTTTTTGCAGCGAAAACATACCCTGGTTTCTTTGCTTTGTCTTATGCCTTCATGCACCTTCAGAGCTGCCTCTGGTCTCTTGTTCTCTTCACTATGCAAATTTTCCTTTCTTCTGCTGTATTCATCAATTAATTTTCCCTTAACATATTCTAGCGTCAGTTCAGTTTCCGGTCTAGTTTCTAGAGCATTTATAAGGGCACTGTATGATTCTGGAAGGCTGCACAGAAGAAGCGCCACAACATGGTTGCCTTTTATTTCTTCACCTATTGCACCTAGCTGGTCCACAATTTCTAGCATAGCATTTACATGTTCACCCCCATTTCCTGCCCTTTTTCCAGCCTCATCTTATACAGTTTGCGTAGCAGATATAGTTTACTGTTTAGGTTTGCATGTTCATGTAGTTTTTGTAATGCAGTCCACATACCTTTAGCTGTGCTTTCTTTCCTTATATGAATGAGTTGATCATCCTCCACTAACAGGCTTATGACTGCTTTTGCTTGCCTGTTTTTCCTGTCCCATTCTTCCGAGTTGTCATTGGGTCTGTGTGTATCTAGTACCTGCCACAAGTCATCTTTGGATAACAGCATTTCAAGCTTAAACTTCCATAGCTGGTAGTTGGTATTGTTGAGCTTTGCTATTGTAAACTTCATATCTGAAGCACTTGCCATCTTTCAGTGAATTGGTAGGATTGTAAATGCAGCACTTACTTGCTTGTAGTTTTCCTTTTTTTCAGTGTCTGGAGCTGGGCCCATAACCTGTTGGTTATGTGTTATAGAAGACACTGGTAGTGATAGCAGAATTCAGACTTTACTTGTGTGGCTTAAGTTACAAACATACAGAGCACATTTCACAGCAGACATATTACAGACTCATTACTTCCTGAAGAGATGATAGAGAGAGGAGGAACAAACAAGTTTTCAGATATACACAACTAGTGACCTTTAGTGTACAGTGCCATCTACTGGTCAAGTGATATTATCACACAATACTATATATAGTACATTATAGTACATGCTGTTGTATTCCCAACAGTTCTGTTGTTTGATGTGCCTGCTATTATTTTTGTTTGTGAGTATACAACCTTTTTTTATTGAATACATTTGTGGTAGTAAGCATTTGCGCTCTCCTGTGTGTTTTTGTAGTTTATGGAAAATTGCCTGATCTGAGGAAGGTTGTGTCGAGTGAAGCGTTTCGGGCCACGATTTTATGAGGATCACCATGGTTTGAGTGTGGGAGTCTTTAGATGAATGCAGCTAACAACTTCACTAATATTTGAAAAGAATCTACTTTCTGCCAGAAATCCATATGGTCTAGAATGAGTTTCACTAGAGTCATCATATTATATATTTTACACAGAACAATTTATCTCAGTCATTGCCCAAGAATAGCTTACACTCTAAAGTTCCCACCACAGTCAGACAAAACGAGGCCCTATTGTGTGCAGGTGTGCATAAAACCTATATATGGGTTTAGGCAGGAAACTTGCGCACATTCAGAAAACCCACACATTCATTTTCCATAAAGAGAGCATCTGGTGGGACATTAACCTAGGACTTAGACCTAGAAACTGCAAGGTAGGCACGCTAATTTCTTAGCCAATGTAGTCTGCTGGATTTTTTATGATTTTACTACTCACAAAGCCAGCGCAGTTATCACAGAAGGTTGGGCGCAGGTATGTGGTCTCTTGGAAGTTGTGAAGAAATCCCAAGCCAAGTTTGGAGCATATTGAACTTGCCCTCATGAAGTATGCAGTGATTTCTTGTCTGCTGATCTGGCCATCCCTGTAGGTAAAAAAAGAAAAACATTAAATAGTCTATCATGAAAAAAGGACCAGCCACAACAAGTGTAAATAGTGTGGCCTTGTACTACTTCCCTGACCTAATACCAGGCCTCGTACTAACTCCCAGAAGATCAATCCTGGGATACAGAAGCTCCAGCCCAGATATGTGAAGGGATGGGGAGCACATTAGTGCCACGTAATGGATAATCTCTTGCAGAAAGCCCCCGTGCCAAAGCCTGACATCTGCACACAATTGGCAGCACCCTGCAATGAGGATACTTTTATCAGGACTATAGGGTCTATAATCACACTGGTGGGCCAGTGCCTTTGCAGCAGGGTTAGAGATGGCAGCACTGACTTCAGGTGTTAATGTTCTTCAGAAGAGGACAATTGTGTAGGAGCGTTATATGCCCTCACAAAAACCACATCAGATTGGAAAAATGTTTATAATGATAGTCAGGCTGCTACTTTTTGTGCCAAAAAAAAAAAAAAACACAGTTTAAAAATATAATTTTAAGATTGTTAAGATATAATTCAGTGCATACATTATGTATTACTGCACATGTGAAAGAGAGAAGCAATGGTGTGAAATGTGCAGCAACCAAGTAGGAAACTTTTCTTTACAGTAATCTGAAAATTGAGTTTTGAGTTTTAATAAAGGTTACCATTCATCTACATTTCCTGGGGACAGCCCGTGGTGAGGAGTCTGAGGACAAATCTGGGCATGTCTGTTTCCTTGGGACAGAGAGTAATGGTTGTAATGTTCCGGCTCTGGAAATTCAAAAATGGCGCCAGATTGGGACATGGTTTTGTGCATGTGGCTACAATTGAGGGGTGTGGTGTTGAGGCCATGGCCAGTAGGGTGTCCACAGAATTCATTTTGAAAATCTACTAACCTTAAGGTTAATATTAGCACTTTGCATGAATAACTCTGCAACGGATCAACTCACTAAAATGTATTAACTGTTGTAACAGCAATTTTTTATTTTAGCTCTTGAAAATATTCAAACCACACCGGTATGGAATCAATATCACACCAGTGTGCAGAAACGTGAGCTTTTCTGCATGTGTTGTGCAAGGGTGCAAAGAAAACAATTGTTCTCTATGTGCCCTGTTCACACCACAACACTAGTATCACATGCGTATTTGTTCTGTGCAGGAATCTGCAAAGAGTATAAAACTCACTGACACGCACATGAAAACTGATGCAAACTTGTGTCTCTGCAATGAAATCTACGCGTTTTCTCCATCAGTTTTTCTGCACGTATGAACGAGACTTTACAACACAACTGAACTTTTAGTTTAATTTTTTTCTGTTTATATTTTGCCTTGGATGGCTACTCTGAAGCTAGTGGTATTTTTTGGAGATATAAGCCATGCTGCAATCCTGTGAAAAAAAAACTTTAAAATACATTTTTATTTAAAGAAGTGTTAAAATAAGGCTCAATGTAGTAAAATACCACAAGAAATACCATATATTTATAAGATTTATAACTTGAGGTGGTCTGTTTTGCAAATGAGTTGGTGTGATACTTCACCAACGATGATGTGCATATCACACACTGTAAAACCTCTGTGAACTGACCCAAGTGTCTCTGCTTACAAGATGTAAGTTGTACTCACCTGTCTTTATCCATCACACAGAAAGAGAATGGGAAGCTGGCCGCTATTTTCTCAAACTCTTCTTGGGATATGTATCCATCTTGATCCAGATCATAATTCTTAAACACAGACTGAAAGGGACAGAACATCCAATTATCCAAAGCTTATTTAGAACAAACCCATTGTGAATGTAAAATAACCACAAACATCCTATGTTCAAATATACACATTGTAAGTATGTTATGCTTCCTACAGTGCTGGATAAATATATATTTGGAACAAAACACAGGCCCCTTCCACACAGGAGTGCTCTGTTCTAAGAGCAGATCCCTTGGTAAGAGCATAATGGGACAAAGGTCAGTTTTGTGACATCTGTGCCTGTCCAGTTTTTGCCACATTTTGACAACAGACTTGCAAACTTGTGATGGTTCTATGGGTGGCCAGATATAAATAGATTTGTGTCCATTTACATCAGGCTACCTGCGATCTGTAACATTTAGGTCCAGAAAAATGGAAAACCTTTTTCAGGTTTTATTCCAGATCAGTATAAACTCAGGAGAAAGGTGGACCAGGAGGGACAGAAAATAGTTTACATCCACCTGCCTATAGACTTGCATGGATAAACTTGGAGGTAGGTGGATGTGGATGGACAGAAAACAGTTTACATCCGCCTGCCCATAGACTTGCATGCAGCTTCCAATCACGACTGTCTTAAAAACTGAGAGGTTGGCATGGTTGGAAAATCCTTGTGAAATGGCCTTAAAATCTGACACACATCTAGAAATTACTTACATCCACCATCCTTTGCACATGTTTACTGATGGTTTTCGGGTCGGGTTTAGGAGAGACACCAGATGCCCAATCTGCAACAACTGGAGGCTTGCAGGGTGTAACGGGCTGTACACAAAGAAAACAGACAAGTTTCAGCAGTGTTTATGCAACATTTACGCTAGCCCAGAATTTAAACTGTTACTGTATTATTAATTACAAATAATGCAAACTAAAAAAATAAAGCAACTGACAGCAAGTACCCTGATATTCTAAGAGAAGAATACCAATGCAGCAAAGCACTAATTCCTACAAAGCCTGAAGGCCAAATCAACTGTCAGGCAGAGTGCATGTGCACTCGGGGTGCTGGTGATACAATGGCCCCATTGTTAGCTAATAATAAAGCTGTGGCCTTGGGATGAGGTAGGCCTGATACTGGACTCCCATTTGATTGTGGATCATCAATGCTTCTCTTTAGAGGTGTCAGATCCCAGTTCTGAGCCTCTGCTCCTCCAGAAGCCTTATGACTGGCACAAATAATAGAGAGCAGATGGGTAGGATAGCCATGGATAGAAAGTTAGATAGAAACAGTGGACCCTCTGAGCTCCTGGATGAGGTGTTCAGGGATCGGCATTGTTAGGAGTACCCTGACAATATTTCCTAAACAAGTGCTGCCTGTGTTCTATGCCCACCAGTGGATGGAGCACTATACCTGTCCCTGCCATTATATGGAGGCAGTGATTAACATTTGGACTGAGCTGTAAGTGTGGGAGCTATTTCACAGAACACTTTGCTCTTCACAGCTAGTGTCACGACTGCAATCCACATCTAGTATTCTCAGATAAGACACGTGTGTCTGTAGGTGAGGTAGCACTGCTATTTATACGTCTTCTTTTACACTCCGACTAAACCTAATTTTCAGCTTTCACAGAAAGCCTTCCCCACCACACATGGAATTGTGTTCTAGGTCACAGGCAGCAAGTAAACTGAGCATTTTAAGTTCTTAAAGGACAGTTAATGGCAAAATCCAAGGAAGCAGAAAGATGTAATTCAATATTGTGCTGCCAGTTTGTCTCTATGCACAGAATCTGGTACACACATGCCCTGCAATATAAATTTACATCTACATTTGTCCATGAATATGTAAGCTAAGCAGATATGTTCGTGAACTTCTTAGAACTAATATGTTTGCTTATGCAAGTAATGAGTGTTGCATAAGGGACAGCTCTAATGCATGCAGAGACAGAGAAGCTCATATCCTAATTGCTAGCTGACCTCAAAAAGAAATGTTCATCTAATCATATCACATTTCTATTTGGGACAACAGACCAAACACATATGTGCTGAACAGTCTGTTTTTGTTAGATATCCATACAATTATTTTCATGCAATGTTTGTGGTTTTCCCACTTTCATTGTTATTAAATACATATAGCTATATGCTAGGTACACACAATAAGTTTTTTTTTTTTTCGACTCAGTTGGCTGAACGAAAAAAAAAACCTGAGAGGTTGCCATATTAAAGCGGAGGTTCAGTCAAAATAAAAAAAATAAAAGTCAGCAGCTACCAAAACTGTAGCTGCTGACTTTTAGAAAAACAGACACTCACCTGTCCCTCAATCCCACCGTCCTGTGTCCCCAGCGCCAACATCTTCAGTGTGAGCACCCGGCTGTGATAGCTTGTGGCTTCATAGCCGGGTGCCCACTGCGCATGCGCGAGTAATACTGCACTTTGTGAATTGTCCCTTAGTCTTCTGGGACACCTGACAGGAGGGAGGGCAACTTTCAATCGCCTAGACGATCGCAGCAAATGTTGAAGTGGGTACCTGTTGATTCGATCACACCCTCCACAAAAGTACCAATCCTTAATGGGGAGTGAGGAACAAAGCCTTAAAACAGAACTTCCCCTTTTGGGTGCAGCTCCACTTTAACTATGTGATGTTAGTGCGGCAATCTCCCCCACTGAGCTATTGTATTCATCGCCCGCCAGATCATGCTGATCAGTGCTCAAAGTCATTGGCGGCTGCCAGCGCTGATCGAATGCTGGTTTTCCAGCATGCCTGTTCAACAGAAGCTGGACAATCTGCTGCACACACTGGCCAAATGCTGGCTGGTTTCTATTGAACTGGCTGATATTGGCCAATATTTGGCACATGTGTACCAGCCTTTACATTTGCCACTCATCCTATAATTCAACCATCTCTTAAGGCAATAGAACCACATTGGAAAATCTCTGTTTTCTTTTTCCATAGAAAAGAGAACCGATCGTTCAATGTACATGCATTATATCTAAATGATGACTACATTACATATATCTTGGTGGCTCCCTGAGTTAACCTCCATTGATGGAATAAGAGCTGTCTGCGTAGAGCTATCTGCAAAAGTGCCTTATATCATGTCCCTCTTCTGCTCCGCTTAGCATCGAGTATCAGACACTGTCTTCCAGAAATGAATCAATAGCTGACAGTCAAAGATGGACACTTAGGAAAGGATAGGTAAAAATAGGATGTATCAATTTTTTTCCCTTCTTTTCCCTTTTAAACCTTCTTCAGCTGTCAGTGACTGGAACAAAGTGAATTATGTCTATTTTATGTAACTTACTGGTGCCCGATGATTCCTTGGCTCCCGTGCATATGACAGTTCATACATTTCATCCTCTGTGTAATACAAGTCGAGGGAAAGCTGCAAATATATTGAGGTACAAATATATAATACAGGGTAGAATGCCCCTTACACATATCAAAACAAATAAATAGCTCGAAAGAGCAGGGCCCTCAATCCCCTCATGTTTTGCATTGTATTGGTATTGTTCTGTCACATGTTCTGTCCCCCTTTGTAATGTACAGCGCTGAGCAAACTATTGGCGCTTTATAAATACTGTATAATAATAATAATATGTCTGTAGCAGGTCGTACAAGACAGACAAAATCCTATCTCCTGCTTCCAGCTCCTGGAATTTGTGTATGCCAAGATAGCCAAAGGGTTTCTACAAGACTATCGCTATAAAGAGATTGCAGAAAATAGTCAAGGATGGGGGGGGAGGGTGTTGATGCGTTTTACTATTTGTTTCTGCTTAGCACGTTTAGTGCTAGCAAGGATCAACAGGTAAACAGCCATATAAAATACTTGGTGACCCATTTTACTAAAATAACTGTTTGGAAATATTTTATTCCAGAGACATAGCATTTATCCTGAATCTGGGGTGAGGAAAATACTTACCTGAGCCCAATCTCAATCCAGCACTGTGCCTGAGAGCAGTGGCTCTCTCCTCTCTCTCTCCCTTCTCACTGGACATGGAGACAGCATGGGTGGGTCTATAGACACACAGACCCTGGCTGAGGATTAAGTCTGCACGAGTGCCCCATAGTAAGAGGCTTGCTATGGGGCACTCAGATGGTGGAGAAGCCAGAACCACCATTATGGGACCTCAGAAGAAGAGGTTTTGCACAGAGGCTGCTCTGTGCAAAACCATTGCACAGAGCAGGTAAGTATGACATGTTTGTTATCTTAAAAAAATACCTTTACAATCACTTTAAAGATTTCAAAATATTTCTATATTTGATCTTGCCCCAATGTACTTTTTGCTCTCTAATATTTTCATCTTTGAATCAAACATGGAAGGTGTATCAAAACAATCCCAGTATATTCAAGTTACAGCAAACAATCAGGGGAAATATATAATGGTATTCTCTGAACAAACAAAAACTGAAAATCCAAACTCACTGTGAGCAGATGTACAAGATCCATATTGGCATCTAATGGTGGAGCTATGTTTTGTAGCTGAATCAGCTCATTAATATGGTTGTACATAGAGTGCAGTTTGGGTACGTTAATTTTCTTTTCATCCAAAAAGTCAGGCATGGCTGCATATAGAGAGATAAGATCTTTCAGGTGTACCCCAAGAATCGGTATCTTGAAATTGCTGCATTCATTATAAGCTCGTCTATAATTATCATAATTTCTGCAGGAGGACAGCAGCTCTGTCATCTCATTAAGGACCTGCAATGAAAACAAAGTTAAAGAAAATGATAAAGCATAAAATGATCTACCTGATTTTTAAAACCCATAGAGGCATACTTATAAATATTGTCACCAAAGATTTACACAACTTTCATCCAACAGGCACACTTTTTTTTTTTCTAATTGAATCCTATGTGAAAAATATGTGAATCTTCCTTAAGGGCCAGTTCATACCACAAAAACGCACTCCGGGAGCATTGCGCATACGTTTTTGTTTACAGTTCACACCACACTCTGTTCCAGTGCAGTTTTGATGCAGTTTGCCATGTTCCAGTACAGTTCTATGCAGAAAATACAGCATGTTATATTGTTTTTCTGCTCCAGGAATTGACTGCACTGGTGTGAACTAGGGCAATTGGAATACATGGAAAACACTGTGCATGCATCTTTGATGCAAAAAAAAAAAAACACACTGGACTGCATGTAATGTGAAATAGCCCTTAAAGTTGTGTAAATCTTAGATGAAATTATTGATAAATAGATCCCTTAGAGTCATAATGGTACTGGAATTGATGCAGACCCAATATACTCCTGAGGCATGCTCTAAGGCAATTTCCCTTGCAAAGTGAACAGTCTATTTGCTTTTATTAAATCAACCTATCTCTATAAAGACTCTTGACCTCTGGCTTTCCATATCTCAATAAGCCAGTGCCAAGTGGTGTATTTAAGTTTTGTGCAACCCCCTGCCCCCCCCCTTCCCCCAGAGAGTCTTCCACTAACACACATCACTCCCCCCTGCCCGGGCAAGAGAGAGAAAGACTCACACCTTAACAGCTCCGGACATCCCTGGGAACGAGAGTCGGGCTCTGCATACACCATCAAGCAGCCCACAGCCTCTCTCAGATCCCACCTGGTCCCCATGCCGCAGCAAGTGTCCCTTCTTCCAGGGGGCGGTGCTGCCCTCCTGAAAAATGCCGCCCTAGGCAAATGCCTTGTTTGCCTTGTGGTAAATATGCTCCTGCCAGTGCCACAACTCAGGGGTTAATGAATGTACCATCAAGCGCTCAACAGGCCCAGAAACATAGCAGGCAGACAAAAAAAAATACAAAATGGAACAAGGAAAAAGAAAGGTAGTAGAGCAATATCTAATGTTAAAGGATGTCAATAGCATGGCACAAAAACTAACTGAAGTGGCAATGAACTAACATAAAATAATGGTAGGAACTACACCAAGCCTGGCAAGTGATTGATGTAGTGAAAATAAAAATGATCCATTAGTGCAGCTCGATAGATAGGGATGGCTGTCTTGTATTGGCACATAATGGATCTTCTTTTTGTCAGTAATATTTTTACTCTGTTGCAATGCATATATTATATTAGTAGAGGTATTTACCTTGCTGACATCATGAGACACATGAGAACTGGTGTCCTTGAGTCTGGAAATGGAACTGTGGCACAGTCCGCCAATCACAGCCATCAGAGTGTTGAAGTTTTGCAGCTGATGAAGTTTCTGTGAGGATAAGCCAAATGGAACATGAAACGGTCAATATAATTATAGCATTTACTACTATGATAATTAGATTGTGTTATTTCATTTATTGAAAGATATGTAATGTGCAGATGTTAACACCCACCTGAGCCACATGAATGAACTTAGTGAGAACTTCGGCTCGGAGCTGAGGGGTTGGTCGGCTTAAGACCATCAGCTGAACCCACTGAGAAATTCCATTGCAGAGTGCAATTGAACGTTCCATAGTAGGATTATCTTTCACACAACCATTTACAATGTAGTTCTGATAGTCCGAAAACTGATGAGAAAGTTGAATAAGATTGTAGAGAATTTAGAAGTGTGAATTATTCTATATTCTGTGGTACTTAAAAATGTAACCCAACAATTTAAAGATAGGTTCATTTGTGTATAAAGTTCAGCCATACATAAAGGACCATTCACATTAGAAGATAAGTTATATAAAGACTTCATGACTGCTTCAAATTATTGTTGGACCCAAGCCAAAAGTCAATTCATAGGTTTTTAAACGCAATCCATATTTTTATTTTTCTTCTCTGGAACATAGGCAGAGCAATTACTGAACAAATTATCTGTGCTCTTGTGGGAAGATCCATAAACCACATATTGTTGAGGTATGAGGACAAGAACCACTGCACTAACACATTGCTGTCATGGTATCAGTTTCCTTGTTTATTATGACATCGAGAAGTATGTTATAAAACCGAGTTGTATAATGCTATTGAGATGATAAACATATCCTTCTCTGCTTTGTTTACTTACAGAAATTCTGCGGAATGATTTGAACTCTAGGTAAGTTAGGTGTTCTGCCAGCTCCTGTGGCTCCAAGTGGTCAAACAGAAGTGACACTTTCCTCTTCTTACTACAGTTTGGTCTTATTCTTTGTGTCAGTTTTCTAGACCATTCCCGAGAGTTACTATATTATAAAATAAAGAATTACATTCCGGCATAAATCAAAAGCATGCCAAAAGATATTTACATTTCCTGAGAACTCACATCTGAGCTGTGTCAAGAAGTTGCCAATGTAATTCTTCCCCTTGTGCTCTCACCAGCTCTTGGAACTCCTCCATGGTCTCGGTGAGACGTGAGTCCACTTTAAACATAGTCCAGAGTTCTGTAATCCAATACCTAAAAAGAGAAAAAAGTTGAAAGACTGGCCAAAAAATGCAGGATCACAACAGAAATGCTCAGTCTATATTTATAAGAAACATACCTTACAAAGTAGCAGATCTTGAGGCAGAACAGCAAAGACCTCTTCTGCAGAGCTTCCTCATATGTAAATATCAGTTAAGGAAAAACAGCAGCGAAATATATTGAGAGCGAATTATAATACCATGCAATTGTAGCATCACTCTCAAGAACCAAAAACACCCTTAACTCTTAGCCTACGCAGTGGCTTGTCTTCATCTAACTTCTATGTTTTAAGGGACTCTGCTTGTGTAGTATAATCATACAAAGCATGTCATATGAAAAGCGTAAAGCAGGATTTATCTTTTGCACCTACTCAGATTGAAAAGATGAGACATAAGAAGAGTGATAATAAACAAAGATAGAGTGTAATTTTCTGTTGCCAGGCTCTCCTTCTCCCACGGGAGGCCTCGTTACCTGCTCCCAGCCTCCTTAATGGCACATGCCTGTCATTAGTGACACACATGCTGAGGTCTTTTTGTGCAGAGCCATATGGAATTCATTGCCTGCTAGAAGAAGACACACTAAAAAGGCTCATTGTCTCTTTAATAAGCTGTAAACAATTTCTGGCTCTCTGTGCTTAGATTTTCAGTTTGTCTCTAATTTATCAGAAATGAATAACTACATGATGTACCCAAATTCACAAAAAACCTGTTCCTGTATGCTTGTGATACTGACTTTTAGGCTCCATGCACACTGGGAGTTTTAATAATGCTGGTAACGTTAGCTGTGTAAAGTCATGGTAAAAACATGAGTTTTTCAGCATTTTTGCATTAGCGGCATTTGGCAACGTTTTTTAGCTCAAAAAAGGTCCAAAACCACCGGTTTGCCGCGATTTACTGTGTTTTTCAGCGTTATAGCGTTTTTACAGCTAAAAAAACTCCTCTAGAAACCTGCTAGTTCTGGGGGTTTTTTCCAGCCAAAAAACTCCCCTGCCAAAAACGCTGATTACAGTCTATGTGTGCATGGACACATAGGATAACATTCTGGGGAGTTTACTGGCTGTAGAAAAAAACGTCAAAAGCCAAAAACAGCCACTATAAAAACATCCAGCATGCATGAGGACTTAGTGCTATACATCTGATGAGTCCTAACTTTATGGTCATTTATCCATAAGATGCCAAGAAGGGATGGCAGACTAATGGGCTCATTAGATGTGCAAAATCTTTTTCCCATGATGACCTATGTAACGCTTTAGCTGTTTAGAGCTCCCACCACTCATATAGAGGACAATTACAGAACGATCATGGGAAGCGATCCATGGAAGGAGGTTATGAACCCCCATCACAAATGGAGCTATGTGGTAGCCTGATACGGATGAAGACAATAGTGGTGGGCATTGCAGCAATGTCTGCTATTGATAATAAGTACAGTATATGCTAAAAGGTTTAGAATAAGCTACAGTTGTCATTCACCATTGGGTTTAAATATTCCCTGGACAGTAAAGGTACATCCAAGCAAAAATAAAGGATATAATGTCCTGAGCTTGCTGAGCAGGTCTGCAGATGGGATCAGGAATCCATGCATTGTCAACATAATCTGTACTAGCTCACTGCTCTGACAAACATTCCCTTCAGAATCTGCAAATACAAATTAACACATTTTGAATAGGTTGCGTTAGTCTACATATAAAAGCCATGTTAGATAGTCTGGGTAACTGACAGAAAAGCTTCAATCAGGCAGTAGATCCCTATAAAACGCACTCCCATGTTTTATGTCTCTACAATGCAATGCTACACACACTTTAAAGACTAGTAATAGGTTAAATAAAAGACACATATCCATCGAGTTGCACTAAAAATGTAAAAAATACACATGTAAATATTAATGGAAGGGTTCATAACCTGTAAGTCGCACATTATTGCAGATGTGGCTATAAGGGCTCATGTACACTGCAGCTGATAAACTCTTGTTTAGGAGCTGTTCAGCGTTTTTTTCAGCAGCCCCTGAACTCACCCTAATGTTTTCCTATGTGTCCATGTACACATCGTCATTTACAGTCGTTTGCAGGGAGTTGAGTTTAAGGTCGTTTTTTTGAAAGCAGAAAACTTGCGTTCAGCAGTAAATGTTATCAGCATCTCAAACACAACACGCTTGTAAATGCGGCTAACTACATTTATAGGCATTTGCGATTGAAATTTTTTTTTAACTCTTCCATATCCAGATGCTGTCCAGAGCCTTTTTTTCATCATGAAAAATGCATGCAAAGCGTTTTCCCGGTACTCAAATGGACCTGGTACACCATACTTTGAGGTTTTGCATGAAAGAAAATATGTAAGACACTGCTGCAATAATTTCTGCACAGAAATGATCTGGAACACATCCAAACAGCACAAAAAAAAAATACAGCTAATCTCAACAAATACTGCTCTCTCTGCTTCTGCTCTCTCTATTTCTCTCAAAATGTCTGAAATAGTTAATTTTTTACTGTTTTTCAGTGCATTCTGCAAGGTCTCCTGAGGTTATCTAAAAAACGCTTCTAAACGCACATAAACGCGGTATGCAAATGCGGCTAAACAGACAGTTTTTAACCTACATTTTCCAGCAGTCAGTTTCCATCATTCAGAAGTGTCCCATGTACATGAGGCCTTAGAGATGTAGTATTTGCATTCCCTTTGCCTGTTAACATTTTCAAATTCAGTAGGGCTTTTCCAAGGACTCTAGGTGGTACTACAGACTCTTGCTAATAATTGTATGCAACCAACCTTTTTCTAATCTACAGCTCCCTACATGCAATGCTGTGATATCCACATGCATGCAAGTTTGAGAGATGATTAATGTACTAGTATTTATAGTGCACTGAAAATCTTGGCTTTTAAGTAACATTCACACTTGACCTCAATCATTTAAAGCGTAACACTAGCTAAAACATTTTTCTAATGTTAGATGGACGGAGTGGGAAGGGTTCAAACATCTGTTTGCATTTTACTGCTGTTTTTGTCCCTGTATGAAAGATTTTCCCTTATTTCCTGTCCTGGTGACTGGTGCCATCAGGACAGGAGAGGAAGTAAGCGATTTTCTCCCCAACACTGACACCAACAGTTTTAAAAACATTGTGATGAACATAGGTGGTTTACCCTATCTTTCTGTCCAAGTTACTGATGACCAGGAAAGGGAAGTAACACATACAGTCAGGTCAATAAATATTGGGACATCGACACAATTCTAACATTTTTTTCAGGGAAAGAATTCTTCGGTCATCCACCACAGTTGTTTTTCGTGGTCTTCCGGGTCTTTTGGTGTTGCTGAGCTCACCGGTGCGTTCCTTCTTTTTAAGAATGTTCCAAACAGTTGTTTTGGCCACGCCTAATGTTTTTGCTATCTCTCTGATGGGTTTTTGTTTTTTCAGCCTAATGATGGCTTGCTTCACTGATAGTGACAGCTCGTTGGATCTCATCTTGAGAGTTGACAGCAACAGATTCCAAATGCAAATAGCACACTTGAAATGAACTCTGGACCTTTTATCTGCTCATTGTAATTGGGATAATGAGGGAATAAACACACACCTGGCCATGCAACAGCTGAGAAGCCAATTGTCCCATTACTTTTGGTCCCTTAACAAGTGGGAGGCACATATGCAAACTGTTGTAATTCCTACACTGTTCACCTGATTTGGATGTAAATACCCTCAAATTAAAGCTGACAGTCTGCAGTTAAAGCATATCTTGTTCATTTCATTTCAAATCCATTGTGGTGGTGTATAGAGCCAAAAATGTTAGAATTGTGTCAATGTCCCAATATTTATGGACCTGACTGTAAGTACTAATGTATTACCTACAACATCTAACCTCTACAGTACTCAAGTTGACTTGTGTGCCACTACAGCTAAGAACACAAACAATGTTAAAATTTTGCATTGCAATCACTGATATTAGAGACTACATGAATGCTCAATTAAATTCAACATTCACCAGGGCATGCTTTAATCATATATTTATATAAAGGGTGATCAGACATTAGTAACTGATTAATCAGCTGAAAAATACTTCCTAACCTGAAAGGAACTGAAGTTCTACAAGCATGGCTGTGTGTGTGACCTGCAGACTCACGCATCACTACTAATCTTGGGGGAAAATTGACTATTTTCTGGACATTTCCAGCTACAACCGAATATTCTCTCCTCAGAGTTTTCTGTTAGTGATACATTGATTTACTGCGAATGCACCAATATTATTCAAATAATTGTCCAAGAATACCAAAATGACAGATATTGTCATATAACACTTTAATGTCTAATGTTTTCAGCCAAAAATGTGTAGGCCTGGGTTAAACAAATCTCTAAAAAGCAACTGAACACTTGCTATTTACTACTGTAATGCAGTCAGGCTCAAAATACAGTAAAAAGTAAGGCTTTCTCCACTACTCTAATCAAAAGTGATCTTGCATCTTGAGCAGTGCTCTTAATTGGAATAGTATTCAGGGAACACATATGGACTGCTGGAGAGAATGGCTACTGCCTTGTAAGACAGAGCCACAGTCTGACGCTCCTATGTGCCGATAACACAACATATTTTAAGCCGTGGTGCAGCATTTATCAGTTGAAAAATGTAAAGGGGCGCAGCCTGCCTGGCTGGATGAAAAGATTTTAAGAAAGTCTAAACCCAGCAAAAAGGCGCCTACAGATTATGGTGGGTGTTAATATAGCCATATCCTTTAGAGGACTGTATGACAATATTTGTAACTTTGACTTGGACAATGATTACAGTGATTTTGGACATAAAATGTTATAACTTCCCCTTATAGAGTGACCAATGCCTATTGGTCTTCCAATTATGTTCATGCACCTTCCCCCTGTCACATGGACTTTTAATGGAGACAAGTGACAGTCTCGGTGTACATTACGGAGCCAAGGTCCACTGATGTCACCATAAGGAATTCTATCATGAGACATGCGATTCAGCCATCGCTGGAGTTCATGTATGTAAAAAATGGCTGCAAACAAAATTACATGAGATCAACAGCACTGAGATGTGATAAAGAAGATTTAAAATGGTAATGGTAAAGGATACAGAGTGCTTTGGCAAAACTAATGCCTTTCTTTAAAGAGCAATTTCAGGCAAGAAGTAAAAGTGTTCAGTTAGTCACTAATGCGAGATATTAAAACAAAAACTGCTATAACTATGTAGTTGACTCTATTTACCATAATCTGAGGTGTGTGTAATTCCCTGCAGAATGGGCACACAGCTCTCTACACCATCTCTATGAGTGTGCTTCCTTGTAGCTTCTGCTGTATGACTTCCTCTCTCACTTTCTGTATCTCCACTCACATTCAAACATCCAAGGCAGGGATTAATCTGTTTGGTGGCTATAACACTTTTTTTATATATAAGATTTTCTTTATTTGAGAAGGAGCAAGGTGGGTGCTCCAGCAGCACCAGAAAGTGGATTCTGCAATCTCCAGATTACAGATAAAATGGAGAGGTGTTGGCTGGTGCTCTCTATAAGCATGTCAAGATCAATCAAAGATTTTACTGCAGTGTATCTTTAAAGAAAACCTGTCACCAGGGGCGGACTGACCGTTCGAGCACTCGGGCACTGCCCGAGGGTCCGAGGTCAGTAGGGGGCCCCATGAAATGCCCCTGGTACCCTTTATAGGCTTTTTTGGGTGTGCTTTGAGTGTTGGGCAAGGACACAGGGGCCCCATGATCCCCTATTGCCCCGGGGCCCCATGAGTTTTCAGTCCTCCCCTGCCTATCACTACCAATTAAAATAAAAATCATGTTTTTAAAGGGAAGAAAAAGCACCATCAGGCACTGACCAGTACCTTCCATTTGCAAACATATTGTTATAAGACTCTCTGTGAGCCCCCATAATCAGGGTGCCTTTTTTTTTCAGTTCAGCTTGAAACACTCTTTCCCTCAGGGTGCACATAGCCAAGGTTTAGTAAATGAAAGGCGGTGATTGGGGGCTGCTGGCAGTGCCACCAAGGTTAGTTTTGTTTGTCAGGGGGTACTGGCAGACTTGTTTTACAGCTCAACTGTACTTCTTTAAAAAAAAGATGTCCAACAAACTCAGGCTCCATGAAAACAGTGTGCGTTGAAACATCTTACTTTTTGTTTCCTTCTATAAAGTTCCCTCAGCCTTTGCAAAAAATTCTGCTGCTGGTCTGGAGGCTGGAGTTAAAGAGCAGTAAACTGTGTGTGAGAGCAACCGTCTCTTTACAGCGGTCTGGTCCACCCCCTGTCTTGTCAGAGCTACAGTGATGCATAAGCTCCCCCCTTTCCAACTACTCCCTAAACACTCACCCCATAAGCTCCCCCCTTTTCAACTACTCCCTAAACACTCACCCCACCAATAACCACTCCCTGGGCCACTGATATATGACTATGTTGTGCAGAAATCAGTGACACAATAGTCATAGGAAGGGCAGAGGTGACTGACATACTGGCTTTGATTGACAGTCTGGCTTCACCATGGTTTTGCTGAACGAGGAGAAAGATGGCGGCACCCAACAAGGGAATCTGTCTTTGGGGACAGATGGGAGTATAGTTTTTGTTCACCAATTATGCACTGGTCTTGTGTTTAAAAACTGAATAATTTTGCAATGGTTTCTGCAGCTATTGAAAAAGGAAAAGGCTCC